AGCCACATTGTCTGTCTGCTGAGACAGAGAGATCCTCTGAAGCAGAGACTATCGACTACCTGCCTCTGGTAAGGCTGCCGCACTGTTATCCAACTGTTGTACTCCAGATGCATATACTGCACCCTGCTGGCTTTTTCAGGTATTACAGTGAGCACTGGAGTTGTTTGGTATGAAACCAAGAAAAACCATCAATGTTTACCTTCCCTTCTTAGGTGAAGGATACACATCAGCAGCCCCATAATAGTCTATCTTCCTTTCTTTTTCCAAAATAAGTAAGAAATACACTGATTTTAAAACCAAGAACAATGTACACATGCTTTCTGCGCACACAGTATTGCAAATGCTAATGCACAGAATATATTGACATGCCCTTTTTCTCCCTGTTACTCTGAGTTTAGGTGCGCCTGCAGCTGGCATCGGGGGCGTTCCTCCTCACCGATCTGTACTCGGAGTACGTTCAGATCCCCCTGGAGCGCCTGAAGAGAGCCTCCCCCTTCTCCAGCCACCGCAGCAGCCTGAGCCCCCCATCCCGCTGCACCTCCCCCCGCACCCCTGCCAAGCCCGCGGCCCCTCACGCCCCGGAAGCCGAGCCGGGACCCAGCCGGGAGCGTTTCTCCGAGGGGGACCCAATGAACGCCCTCCTGGACTGCCTGCGCTCAGACGGGGTGTGTTCCGACCCGGGCGGGGGGTTCCAGCAGGCGGACAGCGGGCGAGGGTCCGAGACAGACATGTTCGAGGGCTCACCCGTGCAGTCCGAGGCCGGAGGGGCCAGTCTGGAGCCCTCAGGGGAGCAGCTGGCTCAGCAGGACCTGCAGAGCTCCAGCTGGGCGACCGCGGTGGCGCTGGCCTGGCTGGAGCACCAGTGCGCGGGGTTCTTTGTGGAGTGGGAGCTCATTGCTGCCAAGGCCGACTCCTGGCTGCGGGCCCAGCAGCTACCCGAGGGCATAGATCTGGCGGGCTTAAAAGGGGCGGCCCGGCAGCTGTTTCTGCTACTGCGCCACTGGGATGAGAACATCAAACTCAACATGCTGTGCTACAATCCCAACAACGTTTGAATCCAAGGGATAAAGACTGGGATTACTCGAATCAATACAATCCTATTCCAAGTGGTTCACCACTAATAATAGTACACCATTCAGTGTGCATTAAGAACTACCTTTATAAGCAAATGTAAATATCTGATTTGGCCATTTTGATTTCTTGACAATGTTCCTTCCCTGTTGGCAGCTCCATTTTTTTTAAGAGTTAAAGCTTTTCTTAAGACTTTTGTGTTTTTGAAAAGCTATAAACGATAATTTTACCTGCTTTGCCGATTGGCAGTTTTTATTTAAAATGGAACACAAATTCAAACGATTTTCTGCATTTATCTGCCATTTAAACAGGGTAATCACTTCTTGTCAATAAATCTGAAATGACATAAAATTTGCTTATTTAGATAATTGTATGGCAGTGAGAGGTGTGCGTGGTACTCTGTTCCTGACAACAGTGGATCATAAGAATCTGACAGCTCTGTGACCTGACTCACTGCTGTTCAGGTTACTTGAAGGCTTTCTGTAATGGGTTTGGAGGAAGGAGGCCAAATCTTATAACCGGAAACGTGCTGCATGCACTCTGGTTTTACAAGAGAAAAGGATGCTTTATTACCCAAGGTGCCAACATGATAAACCAAATAGTTTTTACTCAGTTTCTCACTGCAAGGTTTAAAGAATAAAAATGGCTTATGCATAAATGTGTTGTGAATGTACGTGAAAATCAGTATATACTTCCAAATTGAAAACATGTTTAGAAAGAATAGTTTTATTTTCTTTTATTTTTAAGATGTGGTGTGTATGGAATGAAATAGTACTCTGAATCAATTTTACTGTTAAATTCTGTACAGCATATTCAGAAATAAAATAAATGAACAGAACTCATTTCTGTTTGAAACAAACCAACCTTCAAAAAGGTCACAAGAGTTTCTTTCACCCATCATGTACAGGTTCCTAAATAAGAAAACTTGTTTTCCAACGATAATTGGACACTAATATTACAAAAAGGCAATATATATAGCTATGTGCTATGGAAAACTAAACTTGACCCAATTCCCCCTCTGCAAATGTCAAGCATGCACACTTCACCAATAATCCTAAACATAGAATTTTATTTAGTTTAAATCCCCATTTAACACAACTCAGTCAAACCAATAAGGATTCTCAATGTTTTCTGAAGAATCCCAATTTAAACAAAATCAAACAGATACATATAATGAATATAAATACTTCGAGTCTTAATGAAATGCTAAAGCACAACTGCAGGTCATCTGAAAAATCATAATCATTATTAGAGCAGGTCGACTGTATAAGAATTGATCAATTTTACATACAGGCTAGAATTAGGGTTACACATTTCCTTCTTCTGGGGGCCTTCTAGATCTTTTTCCGCCCCTGGTTGGCACCTTTGTCACAGGATATTAATGCTGAAGACAACACTGGAAGCTGTCATAATTTTGAGAAACGAATAATATTCAAAATACAGACAACTGTTAAGAATAATCCCTTGTATATTCAGTTCCATTCACATATCTGGAGATATGAATAATTAAGAAAAACCCCTTTTCTGCCCCCAGTACATGCCAAAAAATACTGTATAAAGTTAAAAACGCATGTGAGCTATTCCAATAAACACGCATGGCAGGTTGTACGTACCCATTGTGTCATTTTTAAAGTATAAAAACACAACCAAATGCACATACCTGATTTTTTCAGAATAATGAATCAAGTGACCAATGGAGCAAGCTCTAATAAAGAAGAAAACTTTAAAAGATGTTTCAAGGTACAGCATTATTAACTGGTATTTTAACATGAGCGCCTTTCTGAAACAAACAAGACCTATTTACTGCTTTCCTAAAAAAACAGTGTTTAACAAGACCCAGGGTGAAGATGAAAAAACAAATTCTGAAAGATGTGGAGAAAAAAGTCAATTACTCAACATTACATTTTGAGGAATCTGACAGTCATCGGACTATACGTTACAGACTTCACCAACGGAGAGGCTGTTTGGACCATCATGACAACAATTTGCAAAAAATGTAGTAAAAAAATATATATTACAAACTGTCCTTCAACACTGGTGAAACTTTATTTGATTTCACACCTGAATTTTTAATCTTCGAGCGTAGGAATTCCACATAAAACAGCAAATTAGGTCTTAAAAAATCAAAACAAAAGGGGGACATGAAAAAATTGCGTAATCTAAATTTAACCATTTTACTGTCAATCAACGGACAGCACGACTTTAGTCTCTGAGCTATGGAAAGGAGAAGCTGCCTTTTCTATTTCTGGAGACTAAAAGAATAGGTTTTTGGGGGGATTTAAGACTGGTTTCTTTGACCTCTGCTTTTCCCTGCTGCACCTCATACAGTATGTCCTCGTTCCCAGAGCTTGTGAGCATCCAGGCAGGATGCACAGGTGTGAGCTCACTGCTGTTTCCGTTGCCGAGCGGACTCCGCGGCAACAGGGGCGGGGGGCGGGGCATGCCACAGGGACAGCAGGATGATGAGGTGACAGACGTGCAGCGCGGCGGAGCTGTAGACGGTGGAAGGGTAGGTATTCCATGACAGCTCGATCAGCCCCAGGATCAGCACCCTGCCACGACAGTTATCCCGTTATTTCAACCCTGTCGTCAGCCCGCTAAATCACTCCTGAACTGGATGATGATAATGATGATAATAATAATAATAATAAACTTTATTTTATATACAGCCTTTAAAGGTGGCTTCTCAAAGCGCTTGATAACACAATTCAATGCTTGTGCATCACATGTTCCAGTTTTCTGGTTTTTAGTTCTTATTATATATGCTGCTTCACAGGCAGTGAATCATTTCCTATTGTTTTTGTTTAGACTGTCATGGTAATTAACAATTCTCTCACTATTCGACATTCATGATGTTTAGCGAAACGGTATTATGCTAAAACACAGAATTATATGCTAAAGTCTTACAGTCAAATTTTATTGTTCTGATGTTACTTTGCTTTTAAAGCACTTTTTCTGCATTAAACTTCGACAGCTCCTTTTCAGAAGCTATTTTATTGTTGGCTAATGTAAAAATAGATTTTTGTTGCATTTATGTTAAATGTCATCAGAGAACACACAATACACCACCCCGACAGAATAAAGAGAGCAACAAAATGATAGAGGAAGCAATTGGATTTTAGAATATACCCAGATCTTAAATAAGAAAGCTATATCAGAGAGGTAAACTAGACAATAAAAGCATGGTATACTTGTTTATATTATGAAATGTTGTAACACTCTCTCTAATACCCTTTATGGCTGAATGAAGGAGAGGTAAAAGAAATCAGAATTTTATCAGAGATTTCTGAGCGTCTAGATAATGCTACAGTGATTAGTGATTCCCTAATTGGTTGATAACCAATTAGGTTAAATTTTGACATGTTCGAGTAAAGAAACAATTATATGAAAAAAAAATGTAACTATTTCTTTAAATTTACTTTTTCACTGGACTAAAAATGGATTACTTCAAATATTTGTTCACTACTTCACTTTTAGGTGTTTTGCAGATCCCTATTCTAGGGGTACTGAAGACAGTTCTTTATATCTTCGAATCAATTAAACAGTAATCAGAAATTTGAGGATTGTTACGAAGCCAAAAATTAAACTTCAATTCAGTGTTTTGTCATGCATCTGTCACATATGTAACATCCACTAACAGCCCAAATGAAATCATCATACAAGTGGAATAAATGTGCATTTTGTAAAATCCAATCTACACACGTGTGAAAGGGCTCAAGTATTGCTACCTGATAATTCTGAGGGTCTGTTGTAAATGAACACATTTAGAGATACTATATGCATGACCTGACCTCCTGCACCTGATCTGACTACAGAATGCCTACAGAAATATCAGAGTGGCCAGAATCCCACCTGAGCAGGTGTGCCAGCTTCTTCACTCCACCACTCCACAGCAGGTAGGGCAGGGTGTGGAAGTACCAGACATAGAACTGATAGTGCAGTGAGCGGCTGAAACACACACCGATGAAGTTGGATGTAAAGAGCGTGAAGACAATCTGTGCAAGGTGGTTAGGGAAGGATCGAATGATGACAGCAGACAGCATAAAATCTTGACAATCACAGGCGTCGTTATACGGTGCTCTTCTACTGAAGAGCTTGTCAGTAAATATGTATAAAGGATATGATCCGCAGTGAGTTTCTGCAATGGCTGTGGTCGCTGGCCTGGGTCCTTCAGTAACGTTGTAAGACTTTTGCCAGACCTGAAATCAAACAGGACTGATTTTAGTTTCATCTAGATAGATAGATACTTTATTGATCCCGTGAGGGAAATTGCAGAAATCTACACGGATGTCGATACATAAACATTACAGAAACTGTCTCTCAAGGAGCTCTAGGGGACACTTGGCTTTCCTACCTGTTCCATCGCCGCATAGCAAAAAGAAGCAAGGTGAGCAAGTGTGCCCCCAGCAGGGCAAGGTGGAAATAACGGCTCAGAAAGACCTCCTCGGGCAGAAACCGCCAGTTAACGGTCCACTTGAAGAGAAACTGGCGACCCAGGTCGAAAGAGCGGCTCAGATATCCCAGGGGATTCTCCAGGAGGAAGGGAAAGCCCAGTAACACCTAGGACAAAGAAGGAGCAAGTGTTAATTACAGCTCAAGAGGTAGAGGACAATATTCTACCACAACATGGTGCTTTACAAACCTGGATTGCAGCACAAAGGGCTAGCCTGGGAAGGGTCTTAACCAAGCCAAACTCCCACAGGAGCAGAAAAAGCAGGCCAGGAGCGAAGAGCAGCACGTTCATTTTCACAGACACTGCTAAACTGTCCACAACAGGAGAAGAGAGACAAGTCAACCTCTACCAACAGCAGAAAACCACTCACAAGAGCTTGTAGTTGTTCACTGAAGCATCTAAAGACAGTGGAGGTGCTGTCTTCAGGTGGGTATGTGTTGTATTGAAGGGCCTTCTTTACCTCTAATTCTTAACAGTGTATATATGCAGTATAGTAACACAGAGAAATCAGTTACAAGATTTAGAAACGTGAATGGGATCTATCAGTTACTTACTATAAGAAATATATATACTCAAACATCTGAATATGTAATTGAGAGCATTATGATACTTTTGGGCAAGACATTAAAGAAACCATTTATATCAGCTTTATTCAGTTAAATGACAATCTTTAGAAGTTAACCATTGGCCAGGGGACAGTATATACAGCTGACCTCAGCCAGCAAGACTGATTTAAACTTGCCTGTAGAGCCCACAGCCCATGGTCCAGTGGCCATCCAGGAAGAGATTGAGAGCACCAAAGAATAGCAACATCGCCACGGGGTCATTGAAGAGACGCAGGACGAAAATGGAGTGGATTCGATAGGAGGCACAGCACACAAAGAAGAACACATAGGGAGGAACCTGGATTACATCACCAGGGTTAGAGAAACACGTGAGGAGCACATCAGGGACAACTCTAAAAGCTTACATTTTAAAAACGATGCAAACTCATGTGCGTATTAACTGTCCTTCAGAGTCTAATGCCCTTCCCAAAACTGGATCAATTAAATCAAAGCCAATTACTCCCACAAACTCACCTTCTGGGTGCGGTGGTATATACGGAAGACTAGCAGCAGCATGATGAGGTAGAAGGCAGCAAACAAGTACTGTCCCAGCCGAATATTCACCCCATGATCAGTCAAGTAGTACAGCACCGTAAATATGTAGACAAACCCAGCTGGGTACCTAGAAAGGTAAACCCGGTACAGGTGTGGTCCAGTATCACTTTCGTTCTTTGAAATTCAAATTCACAGAGCTCATCCAATTACCATTACCAATGAATTACAGCACTACCAAAGCAATATTTTATTTTAAGAATGATTACTTACCCTCCCCAACCCCATCTTTATACTCCTGCTTGAAATCCATTACCCTGTCTGATTCAATACCCTAAAGCTGTGTCAGCCAAGGACCACTGAAGCCCTTCTTCTGTGAAGATGATCATACCTTCTTGTGAAATTCTGTGTGCATGCAAAGGGGACCACGCAGAACATGTTTCTATGGATACAGACAGAGCATAACAGAAGGCACTAACACTGCTGACGTCCATGAGAGGCTGTGCAGAGCACTCCTGTGCTATAAAACAGCCGGCACACATGCTGATGTGGTGCTGTCTGTTGCGTGCTGTCCTCATTAACAGGAACATGTTTCTCTCTGGTCCCATTTTTACGCAACTAATTTCATTGCTGCATTGCGCAGGTTCATGGAAGGTTTTTTTCCAACCTCTGGGTTTATACTACCTATAACACTCTCCGGATAGTGCCTGTACTTTTTTCAGAGCACACTTCATCAAGCAACCTACATCTCAAATAAGACAGGCTCTGAACCCTAACCTTGTTGTGTCCACAATGAACAGAATAAAAATGGAGATTTCTAAAAGTACATTATGAGAAAACAACTTACACCAGCGGTCCTGTATCTCCCTTCAGCTGGGCGTAATCGTATGTGCCATTAATAACTCCTTCCACTTCGTCCATGTACGCTTTCCAGTCTATTTCTGTGTCTTAGGCATGCAGAGAGAGTGAAAGACGAATAGGGTCAATCTACGGTTAAGAACAACTAAAACAACAAAACAATGTAGCAGTCACAGTAATTCAAAATACAGAATTATGTAATCAAAAGAAACTGATGCCTTTATGAGCATATAGCCTAAACAGAGCACGTCATTTAGAACGCGTCTGTTAAGATTATAAACGATGTATGTTTTGTTCAAAAAATGAAAACTGTTTCATTTCAGATGGTTAATTGAATAAATAAACGTCATATTATTTAATATCTACGAAAGCAGGCTTATCCTTTTACCTACTACACACGAAAATACTACTTCAAGAGACAAAATAGGATATTTTGTTATTCAGCTACTGTCCTCCACGTATTGGAATTTCTTTGAATCTCATTTGAAATTGCTATCGTGCTTCAAACGTGTTTACACCGAGCAACATTATTTAAATTTGCTGTCGAACTCTCACCGAGTCTAGCTGCAGTACATGTTGTGCAGTGAGAATACATTTTTAGTACAAAGTACGAACTAGTGAAAAAAGTTACAATTACAAACGCCAGGTGTTAATGAAGTGAACTACGTTTTATTTCCAATGCAATTCCCTTTTCCCCCAAAAGTCCGGTGTTAATATTTTGTTGAAACCACACTTAAACTCGACGTGGCACAAGAGCTCTCCAGCACGAAATTGTCACACGAGCACATTTCACGTATACCCGCAGTTCCACTTACAAGCCACTCTGTTTATCACCCAAATGTTGATCCAGATCTCCGCTATCCACAGCACTGCAGCGACCAAAAACGTGTACTCGGCTTTGAACAAGATCAAGTGCTTTTCCTGCCATAGTGCACGTAGAGTCCCCCAGATACGATACGGCGGACCCCCACATTTCTTCCTCCCAACCCCAGCCATCTCAATACAAGGAGAAAGACATCAGTGTCGCTAAAAACGAAGACCCTTCCGGTACTTTCTATGCCCCTGCCACAACAGAGATCGACATTTAAAAAACAATTTGAGGAAATCGCCTGACTAGTGTTTTATAATAGTGACGTTATGATATTCACAAATAGATGTTAATCCATCATGATTTACCCGATCGTATGAAGGAGATTGTTTATTTGTAAAAAGGAGGAATCGATCTTTCCAAGTTTTGTTTCTGCGGGGCCATATTTTGATGGACATCCCGAGAGCGGAAACAGTAACGTGTAAGTAAAAACTACCCTACACGTGGGTTAGGTATTTTGGTCAGTTCCATTAAAATTATATGAATTCTATAGAGAATTACTTATACTCTAATATTAGTGTGCTTTGTCTGCATTACATTAATGACAAACCACCAACCAATACATTTAAATGATTCATTTGTTCTTTTTTACTGTACTATTTTAGTGTAAAGGTATAATGTAAACTCTGAAGAAGTGTTTTTATTGTATAAGAATTTAAACATCGTCACAAAGTAATAACATTGATATTTGTACAGAGTAGTGCAATGTTTGTCCCAATTATTTTCCTATTTAATTGTGACGAAAATGTGATTTGTAACTTTAAATACCATCACTAGCCAAGCGTACTCAGTAATGATGACGTTTCCTGAAGTGATGAAGGAACGATTGTGAATGAAACGGTTATGCATAACGTTAATTAAAAAACCTAATGATCCAGCAATTCAATTTTATTCCTTAACTTCACAGCTTCCAAACACCTCGGCGGCAGTGGAACTGGTATTTGCAAAGCTACTGCGTGGTACTTGAGAACTGGGCAAACCATCAATCGAAGGAGCTTTTTTTAGGAAAAAACAAAACAAACACTTGATAATGGAGCATTTGCCAGAGTGCAATTCAAGATACAAAGACGTGGAATACTGGGATGAAAGATACAAGAAGGAACAGTCGTTTGAGTGGTTCGGAGATTATTCGAAGTTCGAACATTTACTGGAACAGCACGTCAGAAAAGAGGATAAGATTCTGGTACTAGGTATGTTCACAATGATGGTTGTCCGACGATGACGGTTGTACTTTGTGGAGCTCATCTGTTTGGAAGATGAGCTGCACAAAGAAACCCGTGCGGGAGAGCTTCTTGAAGTGGGGAAGCCGTTGCACTGGGGCTATCCCGCTGTCTCGACCTCAGAAGCCTGGGTCCAGTGGTACGAGTAGTCATCATGACTGGAGACTCCCTTGGTTGCAGTGGATGGCCATGACACCTTTCTCTGCCTTGTCATGCCCTTTGCGTGCCCTATAAATAGCAGCAGCAACCTTAGTTTTCCCCAGGAGGTCTCCCATCCAGGTACTGGCCAGGCTCACACTTGCTTAGCTGCAGTGGGTTGTCAGTTGTGTGCTGCAGGGTGATATGGCTGCTGGTGTAATCAAGATGATATTGTTGCTATTTACATATGATGATGCGGCAGCAGTGGAGAAGAAGTCAGTACTCTGGACAGGAGGGTGCAAAACCTGTCTGCTGTTGTACCCTTGAGCATGGTACTTTACTTGCATTGCTCCAGTAAAATGCCTTGGTGTATAAGTGGATACTCAACAGCAAAAAAAAAATAATTAATAAGTGGTTAATTGTTAAAGAGAAATATAGCTAATTTAAAATAATTAAAAATTCCTTACACACTTAAACAGCACTTTTCTGGACACTCCACTCAAAGCACTTCACAGGAAATGGGGACTCCCTTCCACCACCACCAAGGTGTAGCACCTACCTGGGTGATGTGACACAAGCCAAAGTGCATACAGTACGCTCACCACACAGCTCTCAGTAATGATGTCAATTCATAGATGGGGATCATTAGGATGTCATGATTGGTAAAAGCCAAGGACAAATTTGGCCTGGACACTGGGGTAACATCCCTGGTCTTTTCAAGAAATGCCCTGGGATTTGTAATGACCACAGAGAGTCAGGACCTCAGTTTTATGTTTCATCAAAGGGATAGTACCTTTTTTACTGTATAGTGTCCCCGTCACTATACTGGGGGTGTTAAGACCCACACAGACCACAGGGTGAGCACCCCACTACTGACCCCTATAATACTGCATCCAGCAGCAACTTAACTTTCCCAGGAGGTCTCCCATCCAGGCTGTGGCCAGACTCACACCTGCTTATCTTTAGTGGGTTGCCAGTTGTGAGTTCCAGGGTAATATAAATGCTGATAATAGCACCAAAAACAGTGTTTTAAATGTCACTAAGCTTTCACTAAGCTCGCTCAGCAGATGGTAGAAACATAGATCCTTGGATTTTGTACTGATATTACTGCAAAAAAATATTTTACACACAGCATGTATGATGAAGTCACTTGTATCCTTCATTCATTTGTGTTAGTAGTAGTGTGATCACTGATCACTACTGAGTAGGAGTGTGGTCACTAAATTTGAAATAGCAGATTTAAATAAACTTGCATGGTGTAAATGCATTTGATGCATGATAGCAGTTATAAAGTACAAATTGCATGTTTAGTACATTTTCCAACATTTTATGTTTTTATATGACTACCATTTTTTGGCTTTTGAATAATTAATTCCCTAAAAGTAGAATAGACTAATACATAAAGATATCATTAGCATATACAGTAACAAGAAGATCACTCACTGATTCTTCATGTTCTGGGGCCGATTGTCATCATGAATATCAAAACTGTTTGTGGCCACCAGGAGTCACTGTAGTCAAGGAGTTAGAAACTCTTCGTCTTCGTTTGGCACCTGTTTATGTGACATTTTGAAAGCTGGTGGTATATACTAAGCTGTATTTAGAAACCTACATTTACAGGAATGTATTTATATGCTGCTAGCACAATATCATACTTAAGACTTCATATGGTAATACCACTGCTCTCTGCACATTGCAGTAGACAGACACCTGTAACTTTAAACTAGTTAGAAACAGTGTAACCTACAGTACTTTCAAAAATACTTAGTTAACAGTGATCAAAATGAAAATCCATTGCTAATGAATTATTTTCCTATAATAGTCTCTGTTGAGAGATTTGTGAACTTTGATCAAGGTCACACAGAATGATATAAATAAAAAATCACTATTTTGTTTCTTCAATGTGCAATGTTTTATATATATCACACATTAATTAGAGACAGGCTGCACAAACATTCCTGTACCCTTTTCTTAATTGTCTGGTGTCAGTGTTGATCTTCTCTGACTGTTGTCTAGATATGTAAAACAGATTTTTACAAATTCTCAGTGTATGCTTGAGCATGTGCTGTTATGTTAAACTGATTTCTTGATTATTTTAAGGTAACATTTTCGTGTTTTCCTGTTGTATATAAGAAATGAAGAAAAAACATTAGCAACACAGACGTTATAGTGATATAAAACTTATTCGTTTTACACCTAGATTTTATGTTTACTGTAATACTTGGTAGTATTGTTGTTCTGGAGATCTTGAGCAAAATGGAATGTCGGAATCTTGGTGTGAGCGGAAGACGCCAATCTGAAAATTTCTTTAGCTCTCTGGATGAGAAAACAAGGGGGTTGCACTATTGTTGTAATAGCGTGGTGATCTGCTAGAGGGCAGTATTACACTGTAGGTGTTGTCAGCTTGCATTCATTTCGCAGCACTTTTGAGGCTTTTAAATTTGTGTCAGGGAATGACGGGGACTTTCTGCTCTCTCTAATGGGGCAACGCAGCAGTTAACGGAACCGCACAAGTTCCGATGCTTGTGCAAGCAGTTTGTTTTATTTTCTTCTGCTTTTCATGTTTCTAATAAATGTGACGCTGGGAAGGTATATATGCCCTTCTCTTTTTTCCTTATTTACAAGCTCGAGGGGTCTAAGATTCTCCTCTTAAACATTTATGCAGGCAGTCAGCTTACCTATGCAACATGCATTCATGTGCACATGTATGCTGCTGAGAACAGAACATACCTTATTCTCCACTTACTGGAGGTACATACTGTATAATTCCACTTAAACCTATTCACCTGTATCTCAGGTCTCATAGACCACACACATGCAACCAAAGGCAGATGGTTTAACTTAATCTCCTTCCTTTCCACCATGTTAGAGTGCCCAGCAAAACAATCAACATATTGAGCCTGTCACTGAACATGTGGTAAATAACGGGGTTTGTCATGTTGCTATCATACCTGCCAGTGCTGCAGGAAGAGTAATGAGAGGCAGATTGTAACAAAAATGAAGAAAACAAAAGACTGTCCGCTTGTGTAAATGGTTCATATAGAAAACAACAACCCATCAGTTTTTCAGAAAGCAGCTGATGCTAATGTGTTGTGTTTTAGGCAGTGTGTTTCACTGTAGAATGCAGATTTATCTATGGGTTTCTTTCTGGCCCAATTCTTAAACAAAATACATTCTGTAATATACAAATCATGCAGGGACAGTAGCTTGTCTGGTAAAGGGAGACACACGTGATCTATTTTGTATTATATTTCACAGAAAATAAGAAATTTATAAAATTAAAATGATTTGTAATAAGCATTTTTATGCCCTCTGTGTTGTCATAACTCATATTGTAAAATATTATTTTCACATTATAGAACATAAGCTTTCCCTAGATAATTGCAATGTTTGGAATAGCTGTCTTGTTTTGTTTTTAGAGAAAAATCTAAGAAAGAGTGCTCGCAGACCTTCTGCCAGAGAATGCAAAATGTATGATCGAACGCTGAATTGGTCTTTTCCATGAGAAGCCATTTCAGTGTACCCCTGGGAATCTAAAAATAAGAAACAAATTAAGAAGCTGAAACAGAAGCAAGATAACATAGAGAACGAACAATACAATTCAGACTTTAGATGTTTGTTCAGATACAAAATGTGCTCTTTCATCTGTAATGGAAGCTGATGGCAGCAGAGCAAGCTGGCGTGTGCTTAGATAGCAGAGACCTCCTCCAAAATCGAAAGCCCCTTTTCTCTAGTAGGAGAGCACCATCTTACTATAGCCAGGTCAGTGAGGTTTGAAACAATCTAAATAAAAAAAAATACAACTCTGTTAGTTATACACTAATTGACAGACTCTCACCTGCATGTCTATATGAATTCTTCCAATTTGTTTTATGCTAAAATTACTCGTATCCTTTTATTCTCATGAAGTTCTTTCTGATACAGAAGATTTACATTCACAGCGAGCTCTTTAGGTCAACTTCAGGTTTCGATTTTGTATTTGTTGTATGTCTAATTGCATTCAGTGCGCTCTGGATTTATTCATAATTGATCAAATAATAACAAAACAACATCACATAGTAGAATGAAGATAGGGTAATGTATCTCACACAAAAAATCTAATGTTCTATCAATCCATTTCCCAACTGCTTTATCCAATACAGGGGTTGTATACAGAGCCATCCATCACAGGGCATGTAAACACACTCACACCAGGGCCAATTTTCCCGAAGCCAATTAACCTACCAGTATGTCTTTTGAACTCAGGTATTGAACCTAGAGCCTCAGTGCTGAGAGTAAGGCTTACCACTGTGCCACCATGCCAACCAGATTCAGAGGTTATACACCCTGAAGTAGTAGTATTGCACAAACAAACATACTGTATTTTGTACATAAATAACTGAATTGTAGAAAACAAGATTGTTACATTTATTAACACATTTATTAACAAGTACTATCTCAAGCAAAAACAAATATACAATAAAGGTTTCCTGTTTCCTTTGGAAATTAAAGGAGGTAATACACAGAAAACACTCCATAGTGGTATGAATCATCAGGTTTAAGGTCAGAGAACCTTTTCAGAGGCTGCAGGCAAATGATCACTGATCTGCGCAAGTTGGTGAATGACTGTAAAAGAATCTACAAAAAGCTGAATCGACCACTTTCAACTGTAGTGTCCATTATTTAAGGGTCCAAGATATTTAAGGCTGCTAGTATAAGGGCCACCCTGCTGGGAAGAGGACATGAGCATATCCACCATGGGCTGCAGGATTTGTGGTTTGTGAGGTGGCTGTAAATCCTATACACACTGCCATCTTCAAAATAAAAATAAAAACCTGAAAATGACCAGTCAA